AGTAGTACATTAACTGTGATGGTGGACTATCACTGTGCTTTAGCCTTCACTTTCTTCTTTCACTGAGAATATAGATCCAGAGGAGAACATTCAGAATCTTCTCAATCTTTCCTTAGCGTGTCCCCTGCCCTGAGCATTTGCTTGGATTTCTAACTTTGTCTTGTACACAGGCGTTTTCAAATGACCTAATTTCCCAAAATAATTCCCTCCAGTTTTACTTTTAGGTTTTCAGTGCTCTACTGTTTGACTCAACTGTAATCTTTTGCCCCAAGTCACTGTAGTTTGTTCATTTGCTTTTATAAGTTGATCAAGAAAAGCCTGCTGCATTTCTGTTGTAAGTTCTGAGTTGGGCAAAACAAACCAACCATCTTGTGTCATCAGTCTTTTAGTCAGCCAGACATTTTGATAGAAAAGCATATTTCTTTGAGGATAAAGTCTGGTCTGCTTCTTTCAGATTGAGGGACTAGAATGCCACACTGGTCATGTGGGCTGTCATCTTCAAGTCCACTACTGAATTTGAGAGAGATGTTATAGAAGCAAGCAAATGTTACAGGGTTTGTAGCAAAGCCATTTTTGAGTTTTCCCTTGAGTTAGCATTCACTTGGTTACTACAAACCTTTGACTGCTTACTAAAATTCTGGTAAAATTCTCAAAGCTTATACAGATTTTTATTGTCTGAGGGCTGTGCACCAAGGGTGGAGGTAACTTTTCTGCTGTTTTCACTGATACCATTTCCATTTGGATCATTTTGATATCTTGTATGTTTCTCTTCTGAATACTTACTTTTTCCTATAAATTCTTCTTCTGAGAACTTTTGTAAGTTCATTTATACTGATTCTATTATCTCTGTTATTTCCATGTCTTTTTCTTTTAACTGACTTTTCTCCTGCTTATGGAAAACAATGTGTTGCTCCTTCCCTGTGGAGTGATAATGCAAACATCACTAATGTAACATTGTTGCATAATGGTTTTTTAGTTTTACTTTCATTAATGTTGAAAATAAATTTCTGAGACAATTTAGATATTGCGCATCAGTTGAGTCTTTCCAAATTTTATCTCATGTCTTTTAACAATTCAGCTCTGGGATTACCTTTACTACAGAAAAATTAAACATCATGTTGGTCATGATGCTTCTCATTCTGTACTGTGTGCAAAAAGAAATCTTTTTTCTGACTAGTTGGATTTAGAGGTTCTACCAGATCTCTGCAGTCTGAGAAGTTTTCACCCACAGCTTCTCAGCTGCTAGTATTTTCTTGGCTTTGTTAAGTTCTTCTGTATACATTGGTCTTCAGCCAAATATTCAAGGTCATTCCTTTGAAGATTTATGCAACCTTTATGTCTGTTTAACAACCCTCTTCTTGTGAGCTGTGTAAGAACATTTCTTAAAGCCTTCACTTCAGCAAACTCTGATATCTGTTTCTTCAAACAGTCAGATTACTTTTCCTGAATATTGCCTAAAAGTACTCAGAGATGGAACATGCTAGTGGTGTTAAGCATGTCATTTGTGTCTCTTCTCTCAGGAATCACACTGCTGGTATGCCTATTTTTCAAAGTCTCAATATAGATATTAAAAATATATTTTACCTGATTTTCTAGTTATTTATGCCAGGTACTGACTGTGATCTGTTTTTTTTTCTCATATCAATGTGGAAATTCTTCATTTACTAATGTTTTTAATATTTTTCCTGAAACTTTTGGAAGCGATTGAATTTTTAAAATATTTGAAATATTGGGTTTGAAATTCTTGAACTACACATAGTTTCAATTCTATTGAGTTATTAATAACATTTTCATTCTTTTGAATTTATTCACTTCTTCTTCTAGAAAATATACATAATCAGTTTTTATGTATCATATATAGATAGAGGTATCTCATGATATTGTAAATATTATGTATGCAGAAGTTACATTTCAATTTTATTATAAATTTTACAATAAGACAGCAGTGGTTATAATCCTGAAACTGATTTCCTATGCAGGTTCTAACTCTAAATTCCATAAATTTAAACTGGGATTTACAGAGAGACTATGTCCAAGTTGCAAGTGTTCCTTAATTCTTGGGAAAATGATGTCCCCAAATCAATATGTAATCCTTCAATCAAGTGAACTGTTCTGTCCTATTTGTTACAAATGTAAATGGAACTCTCATGAAATCATAATTTTTTCTGCTCCTAATGCTGTCATGCATGAAAAATTCTATCACTTGTTGCAGAGTATTTCATTAGACTCAATAGTGTTCTCTGTGTTTCTAACTGGCCAATAGTTTTTCATCCCTTATCAGTCACTTCGCTATACACATCACACATATACACACATCTATATATTTTCTAATCTATTTGTGTAGGAGACGTTTTGTCAGTAGAAATAATCTATAAATCTCTGCTTTTGAAACATACCCATGGCTGCTGGTAAAGTCATACTCCTGACATGATCTGGAATATGCCTTCTTCCTGAACCCCCTTTGGTGTCTCTATCTCCTCTTTCATGAGTTTTTAGCCATTCCTGCTTCTGCTCTACCCTTTTCACATAAATACACTTTTCTCTTTAGTGAGGTTTCATTAAGGTTCTCTTCTTAAAGGAGATCTACCAGTGTGACCTTTGATCCACTGACAAAATATGCATCTCTTCTTTGAAAGCATTATTTATTTATTTATTTATTTATACATTTTTTACATCATTTGTCATTTTTGCACAATGTTTGCGTTTTCATCTTGATTATAGTCCCCATACAATTCTCACCCCCCTTGTTTTGATCCTACTCCCTCCTCCACCCCCCACCCCCTGTAGTGTGTCTCTGGTCTATAGTTGCTTGTTGATTTTGATTTTTACTTTATTATAATTAGGTTTTTTCCTGGTCCATTATTTGAGTTTTCTAAATTCCTGCTATTAGTGAGACTATCCAGTATTTTTTTTTCTTTTCTTTTTAAAGATTTATTTATTTATACAAGGACTAGGGTACAGGTCAGAGGCCCAGGAGGATGAAAGAATTCACCAGAGAGAGCAGGGAGCAGAACAGGCAGATGACTGAAGACACTGCTGAGGGGAGCAGTGGGCGAGGCAGGAGAGGTCTGTCACACCATGTGGGTTTCTCCCTGGCTGGCCAGGAATCAAACCCGCGCTGCAGAGGCTGTGGACAGCTTCACAGCACAGCACTCAACCCGCTGCGCCACCTGGCTTATTGAGCTGAGCATGATCCTTTCCTGCTCCATCCATGTTGCTGCAAATTGCATGAGTTTATCTTTCTTGATGCTGAGTAATATTCCATTGTGTATATGTACCACATCTTCTTATCCAGTCACCTATTTTTGGGCATTTAGGTTGTTTCCATAACTTAGCTATTGTAAATAGTGCTGATATAAACATAGGGGTGCAGGTGTCCTTTTGAATTAATGTTTCTGAGTCCTTTGGATAAATACCTAGGAGTGGAATTGCTGGATCATATGGAAGCTCCATCTTTAGCAGGTTGAGGAATCTCCACACAATTTTCCATAGTGGTTGGATCAGTTTGCACTCCCACCAGCAGTGCAGGAGAGTTCCTTTTTCTCCACATTCTTGCAAACATATGTTGCTAGTTTTTTTAAATATGTGCCGTTCTCACTGGTGTGAGATGGTATCTCATTGTAATTTTGATTTGCATTTCCCTGATTACAGGTGACATTGAACATTTTTTCATATGCCTGTTGGCCATTGCATTTCGTCTTTGGAGAAGTTTCTTTTTAGCTCTTTTGCCCATTTTTTGACTGGATTATTTTCTTTGTTTTTGTTGAGTTTCATCAGCTCTTCATAGATTTTTGTGATCAGTCCTTTATCATTAGTGTTGTGTGCAAAAATTTTCTCCCAGTCGGTTGGGTGTTTCTTTGTTTTGGTTAATGTCTCTTTTGCTGTACAGAAGCTCTTTAATTTGATGTAGTCTCAGCTGTTTATCCTTGCCTTCACTATCACTGCTGAAAGCATTATTTATACTTCATTACCATACCTATTTATTAAATTAGTTCTGTGACATATGCCACTCATTCATCCACCAAAGCTAATTAGAATTCTTGTCCATCATATTCACTGCAATTTCAGCATGTAAAGGAGCACCCAGCACATTATAATCATATGCTTAGAAATAAATTATTTGACACATTTTATTCTGCATGTGGTACATTATCTTCTTTATTGTATAACAGTTTCTTGGAACAATAAAATTTTTCTTTTTAATTCAAAATATGTGAGGAGGAAATTAAAAACAATGCATTTACATTTGGATTAAATACCAACACACAGAATTACACAGAAAGTTTTAAATACTGCACATATGTCTGGGGTACAGAAAAACTGATGAGTTTTAGATAAGATTGTATAAATATAGTATATTCATCTAGATAGTCTTAGTCTATTCCTCTGATCACCAGGCCAAAAACTAGGGCCTTATTGACCTAGCCCTTTGCTGGAGCTTCCTCACTGAATTCATGTTTGATACAACATTTAACTTTAATAAGCCCTTAAAAGACAATGAAAAAGTTCTTTTGTCGTAAATTGTAGTCATGATTTTTGTCACACTGTTTAGTATTTCCTATGCTAATGCCCATAAGAAAAATAATCTTTTAAAGTAAGATAAATAAGAGAAAATACTTTGTCTAATCAACAGGAATTTGCTGTGGTTTTTATCTGATGTGACAATTATATATGATTATTTCATTATTTTTATTGGCCTAGTTCACAAAACTAAACATAAATATTGATGTTCAATCCCAAAATGGAATTAAACATTAACATTTGGTATTTTATATTACATATTTGTTGTCTTGCATTTTAAAGCACTTATTTGTTATCTCAATATAAACTTTCAGATATTTATTCAGAAGTATATCTATATAAAACTTTATCAATAACTACATCTGTATTTTCACCTCACTTCAATTTTTTTAAATATTCAGAATATAAACACAAAACACATATTTATCTTTATAATGCATAAGTTATTCTTAAAAATCAATTCTTAAAAATCATATTAATTATGGAGATGTTATTCTCTTTAAGAGTTTTATTACGGCATTTTGGACTTCCTTATTCCTCAGGCTATAAATCAGGGGGTTCAGCATGGGAATCACCATAGTGTAAAATACAGATGTCACTTTCTCCTGGATGGCTGAACTACTGGAAGCTGGTTTGAGATATGTGGAAATGAGAGATCCATAGAAAATAACAACAGCTGTCAAGTGGGAGCCACAGGTGCTGAAAGTTTTGGACCTGCCCTCTTTAGATTGGATGCGGAGGATGCTGGAGATGATGAAGGCATATGAAATGATGATTGTCATGGCGGGGGTTACCATGTTAAATCCACCAAGAACATAAAGCAAAAGTTCAATGTACGTGCTGGAACAGGCAAGCTTAATAAGAGGCATGATGTCACAGAAATAATGTTTAATGACATTGGATCCACAGAAATCCAAAGTTAACAAACATCCCTCAAAAATCATGGAATATAAACAACATACTGAGAAGACACCAGCCACCAGTAGAGAACAGACTCGCGGGGACATGATGACATTGTAGAGCAGGGGGCTGCAGATGGCGACATAGCGGTCATAGGCCATTGCTGCCAACATGTAGCACTCAGAAACGGCAAACATACAGAAAAAAAAGAACTGAGTCATGCATCCAGAATAGGAGATAGCTTTATCTCTGCTGAAAATTCCTACAAGCGTTTTTGGAATAACAACAGAAGAATAGCAGAAATCTATGAAAGATAAACTGCTGAGGAAATAGTACATGGGAATATGAAGTTGAGGACTCAACCCAATTATGGAGATCATGCCGAGATTCCCCACCACGGTAACTATATAAATCCCCAAGAAGAGGAAGAAAAGGGGCAGCTGAAGCTCTGGTTGGTCAGTTAATCCTGAAAGAACAAACTCGGTCACTGTGGACTGATTTCTTATCCCCATTCTCCTGTGGAAATCTGTAGAGATCAAAGAGGAAATAATCCAATTAGACAGGCAGAGACCCAGCTCAGCTCCCATTCCTGAATTCAGGTTCTACATTCCCTTTGCACCTGATCTGTACCTCCATTGAGGACAGATTCTTACCCTCCAGAAAGTCAGTAGTGAGATTAAACAGTCGGAAAGCTTCTGGCTACCTACAGATTTAGAAACCATGCATAAACTTTCATATCCAGTCCGGGGCCTCAAATTCTTTTAGCAAAGTATAAAACCTTTAAGTCTACTGTTAGAAAGAAGACTAGTGCTAGATACCATGGAGGAGGTTTTCCAAAGCAAATCAGCTGAGGAGGGGCATAAAGAAAGGGCTCTGGGCTGAGAAAATATCTCTGCCGAGGACACACTTGCCTAGGTGTGACCTCATTCCAGTATTTCAACAGAGGAGCTGCTTCTTGTTAAGGCCTGTAATGATTTATGGGCTAGGTTTCCAAGTATGTTCAGCAGGTTATTAATTCTGGGGCTGTAATAATAGGTGTACATGAAGTAAGTATCCCAGGATGCTATGATTTCATACATGCAGAGTTAAACAAGTTTCTTCACTGGAGGGTATTTCAGAACCTCCAATACAACTATAGAACACAATAATTTCAAGCTTAGAGAAAAAAGTGTCATAGCATTATATTGCTCAGTGCTGATGAGGAAACTAAGTTTTCATACTAATTGTCTCTGATTCATCTAATCCTAAACTTACTGCCTGGTAAGAAGCTTATTCATGAACTTCAGTAGCTGCGTAGTAGAATGGCAGCCTCCTCAGCCTGTTTTTGCTCTTGAATCTCCAACTGCTTTCTGGGCTCACTTGACTTTTCTCAGCGAGCCTCTGAGCTTTAATGGGGATTTAATGCACCCCATGTAGTGCTGCCACTTTTAGCAATGCAGCATCCCAGGTATTTTGTGTTTCTACGGTAGGGTTTCTGTGGCACCCAGTTTCACCCAGAATTCTCCCAGGGTTGGGCGGAGGTGATGCTGCATGTTCTTTGTTCAATCTCATTGTAATTTCTGAAAATCTGACCTGTCTTTTTCTTTTTCCCAATGATGGACTAACTCCTGAGTCCTCTCTTGTCCCTCTCTCCCTGTTTCTCTTTTTCTTGTTTTCCCAATGATTAGGAAAGCCCCACTCAGACAGCTGCTTTAATAAATTCTCCAGTCCAGGATCTACCTGTCTCCATGCTTTTCTCTAGGCTTTTCAAGAAGCTTATCATGTCTTCCTTCTTCTAGTCTGTTCCTGCTCTATAGGACACACTTCCTCTGGGCCACTGGAGTTCCCCACGATGTTGGTGCCTCCTCCTGATTTCTCAAGTCAATTTAAACAAGGAAGCTTCTTAACACTGCACATGCCCTCTCAGCAAGTTCCAATTCTGTGGAAGTCTTCACTCTCTGATCTGCTCTCTTTTTTTCTTATCTTGAGGGATGAAGCTAGAGGAATCATGTGCAAAAGAGTGATAGCCCATTGTGCCTCGAGTGTTAGTAGCATACTCTGGAGTCCTCTTTTTCCCTTGTCCTTGCCAAATAGGTGCAGTCCAGTCATAGAGAACACACAGAGAAATATCAGAGGTATCTTCAAGAGGACTGTGTAGTCACCATTAATCTGTTTCATCGTGCTTTCACACTGTCCTTAGTGTTGTAGACAATATGTACTCTCATCAGTGTGCCACAAAGTATTATTATCAGGGCGATAAGAATATTACAAAGGTAGAATCTCAAAAAGTAATGACAAATAGAAATATGTTTTTCATTGATGGGTGATTTAAATGATTCTACAAACACATTTCTTAACTAGTAAAAACAAATGTTTAATGTCAATTGTAATGCTATTGTTTATTTACCTGAGGTAGGGAAATCATTTCATTTTATTAAGTGATGATATAAAAATCATTATTAAGTGATTTGCACTCTGTTTTTACTGAATCTTTGTAGTCATAAGGTATTTTATGCTGCAGCATTTCCCATGTCAAAGGACCCACAATTCAGTGCTCAATAGCCTCATGCTGCATATGTGGCTATAATTTCAGCAACACGGGTTTGGAAAATTGTTTTTTCTAAATCTCACTTTTGTCAAATATCAACTTGCTCTTAGAATGAGGAAAAATATAGTACAGAAATATAAGAAAGAATACTGAACCAGAAATCACTATATTGAGATTCATCAACAACTCTAAGATATACATTATAATATTTGAGCATCCCTCTGAGATTCATATTTTAATCATTTAAGAAAAAACACTTCAAGGGATTATTGTACAAGTTAAAGAAGACAATTTATGAGCAGAATTTGTGCAGTACAAGATCTATATAAATATATTTGTAGTATTACAATACTCTTTCATGGGTGTGATTTCACTTATTAATTCATAGATTAGCCTCTAAGGCCCTTAGACAATATGAGTGGACAGTGCATACTGAGTCCAGATGGACATCCAAGGCCTGCTCCCTCTAGACCAAGGCTCAGTGACCTGCAAACATGCAGAAACCTTTGTGCTCATGTGGACGATCAGAGCTGATTTTCGAGCGTGTCTTAACAGCTACACAATATGCACATCATACCTCTGAAACTCACCTTTCCCTTCTGAGGACTTAGCTGAGCGTTGCTTCTCCTAGCCTCATCACATTAGGGATAAAGATGGAATAATTATACCATTTGATCCTTCAGTGTCTAAACAACCACAAGTAACATGAGTCTAGTGTTAGTAAATCTGTGAATCATCTCAGTTTCAATATTTTACGTCTCGAAATATAAAGATGAGGAATTCCCATGGGTTTCTTATCTCCCGAGGTTTAGTAGGCTGTGTAGTATAAGACCTTTCATTTGATGGTCTTTCAAACTTTTTAATATAAGGACCTAATCATGTTATGTGGTCACAGTTCTTGAGTAATGCATGGCATGTCCTAACATTCAAATATATTTAGAATTGATTTAGGTTTTAACAAAAAGAAACCAAATGAAAAAAGAATATAATTTTCAAACAGAAAGTTTTATTAAATAGAACTAGTTTCCTATTTACATATTTTTATAGGACAAATAATGGAATCTTTTGTGTGGCTGCCATTGATTGGGACAAGATACATTTTAGTAACAGTCCCTCAAAATGTTGCAATCTATTGGGCTGAGAATAGCCTAATGCATACCTCAAGAAATTGTGGGATGAATAAGCACCATGGTGCCCTATGGAATATAATGAGGAATTGTGTGTTCTCAGAGAGGGAGCAAATCACTACTCACCATAGAGAAAATGACAATCTTTATGTATGGATAGAATTTCTTAATTAATAAATTAATCAATTAAGAGAATACATTGAAACTCAGAGAATACAAAGGGACATTAAGATATAGGCAAGGTCATCTGCACTGGGATTCTGTATCTCCCATCCCAGTACTAACCAGCTCATGTCCTGCTTAGCTTCTCCACCCATATAGGACATCTCCAGGGTGGTTTGGCTGTGGACAAGGTGTTGTAGCCAATCAGAATACAATTTTTTCTCCTCTCTAAAGTATATCATCGGAGGGCCTCCCTGGTGGTGCAGGCAGTTGAGTGCAGCGCTGCGAAACTGTCCGCAGCCTCTGCAGTGCTGGTTCGATCTCGGCCAGCGGGGAGATACCCACATGGTGCAGACCTCTCCTGTCTTACCTGCTGCTCCCCTCAGCAGTGTATTTCAGTCAGTCTGCCTGTTCTGTTCCCCACTCTGTCTCTGGTGAATCCTCTCACCCTCCTGTGCATCTGGCTTGTACCCCAGTTCTTGTGTAAATAAATAAATCTTTAAAAAAATATATATCATCTGAAAGTGGTGACCCAAGAATGATACAAGTGTAAAGTCAGCTAACCTAGTATAAATCCAGGATGGTTAGAAAGGTGGTTTAGTTTTTGATTGATACTTTCTGTTGTTTTTTTTTTTAAACTCTTTTAAGTTAAGCATTTAGTTGGCATATTTTTCTTTAGGCTGGAAAGAAGCACAGGGCCTTCCCACTGCCTCCTTCCACTGTTGCAGTCATTATATTAGCACTAGTGAGAGTTGCTGCTCCATGTGTACATAAAAGCACTATTTGGGTTATTCTCCTTTAGAGGAGATTTTCTCTCCATGTTCTTATTTTCTGTTTGAACCTCTCTTTGCTCCTGTCTGCACCTGAAAGCACTGCATGCTCAGGTAAAGCTCATCTTTGAAAATACCATATGACAAGGAACCTTTTGGGTGACACTGCATGAGATTAAGATTGAACTGTACAGGTCTCCCTGGTGGTGCAAGGGGTTAAGCACCGCACTATAAAGCAATCCGCAGCCACTGCAGCATGAGTTCGATCCCCAGCTGGCCAGGGAGAAACCCACATGGTGAAGCAGACCTCTCCTGTCTCGCCCGCTGCTCCCCTCAGCAGTGTTTTTCAGACGGTCTGCCTGTTCTGCTCCCCAGTCTGTCTCTAGTGAATCCTCTTACCGCACCCTGCCCCCATCTCTGGCCTGTACCTCAGCTCTTATATGCATAAATAAATAAATCTTAAAAAAATATATTGAACTGTACAATTTCATATTGTAGTACTTTGAGTCCTATCCTCAGGGATTCCAGCCAGTGTAATATGTCTGTTTTTATAAGACAAATGTTATACAAATTATCATAACCTGGATAGTGAACAATGCTTACTGGTATCTGCTTAACCATCTGCTAAGTAGTGATTTTTACTATGTTAGGACTAAAATTTTTACCTTGCAAGTTTGACCATCCTTAAAATAGTCTACTGCTCTGATTTACCTGATTCAGGTCTCTTATAATGGTAGCAACTCAAAAGAAATTTAGTAATTTAAAAGGTGTTTTAAAGCATTTCACTGTGCCTAAAATATCATTAAAATGATAACAATCAAGAGTATTTTACAAAGGAGTTTCAAACTGTATTGCCAAGAGAACGAAATTGCACATAAATGGAAAATTTAAATTTTTCTGGAAGCCCTTTTTTTTAAAAAAATAAA